GATGGATTTGTGTGTATTTAAAATACAAGCATTACTATATACTGATTTTTATGTAAAATGTGTACAAAAATTGTTTTTTGTATTTAGATATTCGGGTCCTGCTCAATAACGATATGTTATTAAAGGAAGAAGCTATTGAGTAAGTGTACTATAATATACATTTTCTGCTAATTAACATCTTAAACAAATCTAATGCGAAGTTTCCTCTTGTAGAGCATGTGGAAAATATAACAAAGAGCAACTAATTCCTATTAGAATTGAAGGCCTACAACACAAAGTATTTACAAATTCAAATTAAATATTACATTACTTTTGTAAATTTTTTATTTAAAATTTCTACTTATTGTATAGGTATTGCTTACTGAATATAATGAATTAGATAAAGGTTATTTTTATGATCCAAGGAGTGGCAAAGCATTTAAGTATGATCATTTGCGAAAAGAAGTGTCTGATGTTCATCCTATGGAGAGTGATATGTATATAGAACCATGGCGTTCAGCATTAGAATCTTTATGGATAACATATACCCAAGATCATTATAAACATGGCACTTGTTCTGTGTTTGGTACCGTTCAACATGGAGATATTGTTCTCATTGCATGTATTGAAGATCATCAGTTTCAACCAAAGAATTTTTGGTAAATGAATTACTGTTTTAAAATATAAATGTTTTGTTTGTTTTATTTCATTTCTGTCAAATTACAGGAATGGACGTTGGCGATCCATTTGGACAATAACAATTCCTTCTGGATTAGGAGTAGCAGATATTAATGGATTAGTAAGAGTGCAGGTTTGTTATATTTATAGTTATATATTATCAAATTATAATAAAATTTAAATTTTTATAAGTTATTTTGAATTACCAACTATTTGGCAAATATTTGAAAAAATGGCTTTTCAGTACAGTGGTGCCTCATACTTCAAATTTAATTCATTCCAGGAGGCTGTTCGAACTCCAAATAATTTGAAGTCTGAATCAATTTTTTCCCATTAGAAATAATAGAATCTAATTAATCTATTCCTACACCCTAAACAATATTCATTTCAATAAACTTAAAACTGCAAACACACAATTTAAGGTAAAAATAACACAATCAAATGCCCTAAAACTAAGTTAAAACATGAAAACAATAAATAAAATATGTAAATACTGTATAATAAAATGAAAATTGCATTAACTGGTTGCACAGTGCATCTTAAAATAGCTGCTATATCTGCCACAATTGTACAGCTTTTATGCTTTGCAATAAGTTTTTTTTTTTCCTCAATCAGCAATATTACAATCTTTCTCTTTGATTTTGTTGCCTCCACACAATTTTACAATGCCATGGTTAATAAATAAAGGTTATATTGGGTTGAACAGGCATTTTCTGCATATTTTTGACAGCTGGTTAGATGTGAGATTTAACACATTATTGCTAATGTGAAATTGTATTCTTTGTTTAGAAGCTTCTTTTAAACTTTTTTTTTACATTTTGTTTGAATAAAATCAAGTTGTAATGTTGTGGGATAAAAAGCATATCAGACATATTATGCTTTTGAGTTTCAGAAATGATATAATGCCATACAAACAGTAATAAAACAAAAATTGTAATGTATATTGGGAATATGCTTCTAAACTTTGAATATGTCAAATGTGTTTTAAAAAGTTTCATTTGGGAAATTTTGAACTAAAGAATACAAAACGTAGGTGGTGCTCAAAAGCTTTCAACAAAGGAAAATTGCAGGAAGAAATTGTTAAAAATCAATTAACAACACACAATACAGTATATATTTTTGATATGTTTGATTATAAAGTGCAAAAATGCACTGAAAACATACAAGTGTAATGTAAGAGTGAGAGCGAGACACAACTTAGTGCACAACAGATTGTCTTTATGTTTTGAGCTCATTTTCTCAGTGCCTGTGCAGTTCAAACTCTGAGACAGATTTTTATCAAATTTAGCATTCAAAGTTAGAGTTGTTTGAAATATGAGGTACCACTGTATTTTCTAATTTTAAGTCTTCTAAGTCTTTATAATAATTTAAGATCACAATCATTTCTAGGATTGCACTTATAATATAACTGTTAATATCAAAACATAAACTTAGAAAATTAAAACATCTTTTAAGTTTTGCTAAGTTAGAACAGCACTGTATATTAAATTCTTCTATTTTCTTTCATAACAAATGTTTTTAATTGTCAATAGAACTAGGATATGTACTGTACATACTAAAAATCACATAAATAAATGTTTCTTCCATTGTTCTAAAGACTGTTCCTGTGAAACCTTTTGTAAGCCAAATTGGCATAAAGTGAAGAAGTGATTATCATTAATTTATATTGGAAAAATTTTTGTGTTCACAGACTCAAAATTAACTTACTAAGTTATACTGAATATCATGTAAAACTTGCTATTCAGTAACACTATGCCACACACATAGTGTGCAACACCTTTTTTGCACACTATGTATGTGCAAAAAAGTGTTGTCATTGTTTTTCATTGTTGGTATGACTTTCATTGACATCTAATGGCAATCCATATGTCATTGTTTGTTTTTGTTTGTAAATAAACACTTATTTTGTATGTAAAGAATTTTTGTGCTGGCGATTTTTCAAAATGTCATTGAGCAAAGAGCATTTATTAAATTTTGTTTTTGCAATGGAATTACTGCTACAAAAATGTTGGAAATGTTGAGGAAAGCCTTTGATGTGATTGAGTATCAAAAACGAGTTTTCAAGTAGTACAAAATGTTCAAGAAAGGTAGAGAACATGTTGAATATCAACCATACTCTGGTAGGTTCAACTTCAACTGATGAACAACATGTCACTCAAGTTAGAGATTTGGTGCTCAATGATTGTTGTTTAAATGCTTTCTCAAGACAAATCATTCTTAAAATATATTATGGATAATGAAACATGGATCTACACTTTTCATATCAAAACAGCTCAACAATCAAGTGAATGGCACTCGAAAGGTGAAACAAGACCAAAAAGATCACATCAAAGTCAGTCAAAAATCAAGGCCATGTTGAATGTTTTCTTCGATTGTTGTAGTGTTAAGCATCACGACTTTCTTCCAACTGGCCAAACTGTTAACAAAGAATATTATTTGACTGTTTTGTGTCATTTGTTTGAAGCAATTTGTAGAAAATGAACTGATTTGTGGTGAGAAAATTCATGGATTTTGCATCACAATAATGCACCTGATCACAATGCTCTTGTTGTTTGTGAATTTTTGGCCAAAAATTCAAAAAATACAGTTTTGCAAGCTTCATATTCATATGATATAGCACCATGTGGTCACTACTCGACTAAAATTTCCTCTTTGTATTCACTGTTTTAAGTTGATTGATGCCATAAAACAAAATTTGCTGCAATTCCTGAAGGGGTTTCATGAAAATGACTTTAAAGCATGTTTCGAGGATTAGAAATATTGGTGTAAATGCATTGCAAGTGGGAGGAGATTACTTTAAAGGGGTCAAAATAAATTTTGATGAATAAATTCAAATCTTACATTTTATTGAACCATTTCTGATACTTTTTGATCACAGAGGTGGTATTTAAATCAAACATTTGTTGGAATCAACAATTGAAATTAATGTTAAATGGTATATGACATCGTTACGTACAACGCATTGTGCCGCGGTGATGTTTTGTAAATGTTTTTCTGTTATGTAATAAAAGGTTGGTAGCACTGTTGACCCTTCGGGGAGTCGTTAGAGATGGTGACCTCATTTCACTCTCCCCTTTTCAGCACTGAACTTCTGTGAGTCAAGGCAATATAATCTTTATGTATTCTTTGTTTCTTTGTTACATAACCAGTTATGTGAGTCCAACCAGTTTTACTAATCTCCAAAAAGCAACATCAAGTCTAACAGGTTATGGGTCCAGTTATGGCAACAACTAATTAAGCATAAGGTGAAAAAGGTAAATTCAAGAGATAATGTAAACTGGATATAAATTTATGTGAGAATATTTGGTGAGAACACAAAAGGCTTCACAATGGCAGATAAAAGTTACGTTGCCATCACTAAATTAAACAACAACAACTATCACATTTGGAAATATAAGATGGAATTGCTGTTGATAAAAAACAAGTTATGGGACGTAATACAAAAGGAAATACCCTTTGATCTTGACTCATCTTGATTAACATANCCCGTGCACGCTAAGTGACTTTCATTACAAGCATTTAGCTTTCTGAAGACTATGACAACAATTGTGTGGCATTGACTGTCATGAATTTCACGCCAATAAGCTGCCTCGACTTGTTCGATTATGTTATCAACTCAATTTCATATTTATTTTTACATTTTCAATTTGCGGTCCTTCTCTCTTCTTTTTCCGTTATTTACACACGTAGGTCATTTCATTGTTATCCACATTTGATATAACCAACTCAGAGTTTGTGTCCCTGCTCCGCCTAATGGCACTACAGGGTTATCAAAGAGACGATGTCATAATCATTGGCCGGTCCATCGCTCGGCAGCAACCAAGCGCCAAGACGATAACAGTCAGTCCCAAGAATAGTGCTAGGGCTCTGGCTCTGGCTCGGGTCTAGGTAGCAAAGGAGTACCGACCCTCATTGCCTTCATTGCCTTCCTTGCCTTCATCGCTTCTCGGGTCTAACTCACTTACAGACATGCATTTTAGTGTACAGGAGTACTGTACATAAGAGAGTGCTACCATAAAGGTACACAATAGAACGGGTGGCAGGGCCCCGCCTCTGTGAGGAGGGGGACCCAGTAAAGAGGCAATTGATATACTGGGCAAATACAAACCTATTGGTCAAATAGACCAATAACAATATCCATCAATTCCTTAAGTTTCTTTAAGTTCCCTTTACTAGCTGCTAGCGTTCGAAGTACTTGTTCAGGGGGCTTAGTCCAGTCAACTTGGTCAGCCCCTAAGCGGAAGTCCTCAGTGAGAGGACAGTCAAGTACATAGTGTCTCGCGTCGCCGCAAGGACACCCACAGGAGCAGCTACCATCTCCTTGCCCAAATTTGGACCTGAAGTGGGGAAACTTCCCGTGGCTTGTTAAGATTTGCGTTGTCAACCAGCAACAACTTATCGGAGTGAGACCAACTACAGGCACGAAGGCGTAGGTTGGCCTACCTACTGTGCTATGAGTCCAGCGCTCACGCCAGTGTGTCATTGATCGTTGCAGTAGGGTACCTTTTATGTAAGATGTCGAGGGTGCTACCATCCTCGTTACAAATGGGCCGCTGGCTCCCGCTTTTGCCAGCTGATCGGCCCGCTCGTTACCCGGGATCCCGGTGTGGCCTCGGATCCATCGCAGGGCAACGTGTCGCTCGTGCCTCGCCCTCAGTATCCCACCTCTGATCTCCTGTACCAATGGGTCTCGGTGGTACCCGTCGCTCAAGGCCTGTAGCGACGACTGGCTGTCTGAGTAAACCGTGACCGGCTCTGGACCCGGATGTAATAGGATCCACTGGGACGCCCCTCCCAAGGCCACCAGTTCTGCCTGGAACACGGACGCTTCCTCGTTCAATCTGGCTGATTTACAGCACACCTCAACTCCGTCAGAGTAGACGCAGTATGCCGCACCTACTAAGCTGCCGTCTTTCGAGCCATCAGTGTATATCTCAACACCTGTATCTGTCGGTTCACCGACATCCCAATCAAGTCCAATCCTCTGGGCAGGATGGATCTTAAGTACATCTGTTTGATGTCTTAGTCTGATCGGGTACTTCCGATTACAGTGCACAGCCTCGACACCTTCCACTGTTGTTTTGTAGAAGGCCGCCTCCTGGCTGACTACTAGGGGCAGCGGTAGCAACCCGG